GGGAGATGGAGGCATTGGCGAGTAGCCAGCCCAAATAGGGCTTAGGCTTTTAAAGAAAAATTTACCAAGAGAAAATTCACAAGTCATGAAGCTCACCTACTGCAAGGACATATTCCATTTGTTTTTAGCATATTCCCAGTGTTTCTCAGCCATCACCAATATATAATTTTAAAACATTACCCCTCCAAAAAATCACACCAATCAGCATCACTCCCCATGTGCCCCTCCCCCAGCCTCAGGCACCTATTCATCTACTTTCTTTCTCTGTAGATTTGCCCATTCTGAGCCTCTCGTACAAATAGAATCTCTGTAGATTTGCCCATTCTGAGCCTTTCATACAAACAAAATCCCACCAGGTTTCATACCAGGGATGCAGGGATGGTTTAACATTCACAATTCAACAAATATGATACACCACATAAACAGAATTAAAAACAAAAATCACATGATCATCTCAATAGATGCAGAAAAAGCTTTTGACAAAATCCAGCATCTCTATGATTAAAACTCTCAGCAAAATCAACATCCAAGGGATATACCTCAATGTAATAAAAGCCATCTATGACAAACCCACAGCCAACATAACACTGAGTGGGGAGAAGTTGAAAGCACTCCCTCTGAGAACTGGAAGAAGATAGGGATGTCTACTCTCACCTCTTCTCTTCAATATAGTACTGGAAGTCCCAGCCAGAGCAATCAGACAAGAGAAAGAAATAAAAGGCATCCAGATCAGTTCAGAGGAAGTCAAACTGTCACTGTTTGCTGATGATATGATTGTACACCTAGAAAACCCCAAAGACTCCTCCAAAAAGCTCCTAGAACTGATAAAAGAATTCAGCAAAGTTTCCAGATACAAAATTAATGTACACAAATCAATAGCTCTCCTATACACCAACAGCACCTAAGCTGAGAATCAAATCAAGAACTCAGTCCCTTTAACAATAGCTGCAAAAAAATAAAATACTCAGGAATATACCTAACCAAGGAGGTGAAAGACCTCTACAAGGGAAACTACAAAGCACTGCTAAAAGAAATCATAGACAACAAACAAACAGAAACACATCCCATGCTCATGGATGGGTAGAATCAATATTGCGAAAATGACTATAGTGCCAAAAGCAATTCAATGCAATTCCCATCAAAACACCACCATCATTCATCACCGAATTATAAAAAAATTCTATAATTCATATGGAACCAAAAAAGGGACCGCATAGTCAAAGCAAGACTAAGCAAAAAGAACAAATCTGGAGGAATCACATTACCTGATTTCAAACTATACTATAAAGCCACAGTCACCAAAACAGCATTGGTATAAAAATAGGCACATAGACCAATGGAACAGAATAGAGAACCCAGAAATAAACCCACATACTTACAGCCAACTGATCTTTGACAAAGCAAACAAAAACGTAAAGTGGGGAAAGGACACTCTATTCAACAAATGGTGCTGGGATAATTGGCAAGCCACACGTAGGAGAATGAAACTGGATCCTCGTCTCTCACCTTATACAAAAATCAACTTAAGATGGATCAAGGACTTAAATCCAAGACCTGAAACTATAAAAATCCTAGAAGATAACATTGAAACACCCCTTCTAGACATTGGCTTAGGCAAGGATTTCATGACCAAAAACCCAAAAGCAAATGCAATAAAAACAAAGATAATTTGCTGGGACTTAATTAAACTAAAGCACTTTTGCATGGCTAAAGAAACAGTCATCAGAGCAAACAGACAACCCACAGAGGGGGAGAAAATCTTCACAATCTATACATCTGACAAAGGACTAATATCCAGAACCTACAACAAACTCAAACAAATTAGCAAGAAAAAAACAAACAATCCCATCAAAAAGTGGGCTAAGGACGTGAATGGACAATTCTCAAAAGAAGATATACAAATGGCCAACAAACATATGAAAAAAGCTCAACATCACTAATGATGAAGGAAATGCAAATCAAAACCACAATGGGATACCACCTTACTCTTGCAAGAATGGCCATAATCAAAAAATCAAAAAATAATAGATGGTGGCATGGATGTGGTGACAAGGGAACACTTCTACACTCCTGGTGGGAATTTAAACGAGTACAACCACTGTGGAAAACAGTATGGAGATTCCTTAAAGAACTAAAAGTAGAACTACCATTTGATCCAGCAAATCCACTACTGGGTATCTACCCAGAGGAAAATAAGTCATTACACAAAAAAGATACTTTCACAACACGTTTACAGCAGCACAATTCGCAATTGCAAAAATGTGGAACCAACCCAAATTCCCATCAATCAATGAGTGGATAAAGAAACTGAGATATCTATCTATCTATCTATCTATCTATCTATCTATCTATCTATCTATCTATCTAGATGTCTATATATATATATACTGATAGAATACTACTCAGTAATAAAAAGAAATGAATTAATGGCATTCACAGAGATCTGGATGAGATTAGAGATTATTATTCTAAGTGAAGTAACTCAGGAATGGAAAACCAAACATATGTTCTCACTCATAAGTGAGAGCTAAGCTATGAGGATACAAAGGCATAAGAATGACACAATGGACTTTGGGGACTCAGGGGGAAATGGTGGGAAAGGAGTGAGGGATAAAAAACTACAAATAGGGTGCAGTGTATACTGCTCGAATCATGGGTGCACCACAATCTCACAAATCACCACTAAATTACTAATCCATGTAACCAAACACCACCTGTTCCCCAATAACCTAAATAAACTATAAAATAAAAATATAAAATTAAAAAACCCAAATAGAATGTCACCACATGTGGGCTCTCACTGAGCATCATGCTTTCAAGGCTCATGCATGTTGTAGCCTGTGTCAGTATTGGATTCCTTTTCATGGCTGAATAATATTCCCCAAGGGAATGGGCCACATTTTGCTTGTGTGGATGGGCTGTGTTTTGCTTTGTCCTCTGATGGACATTTAGGCTCTTTCCACTTCTTGGCTACTGTTAGTCATGCTGTGTACATGGGTACACCAGTCTTTGGCTGCTGTCAGCGGTGCTGCGTACGTGGGTGCACAGATCTGTGTGTGGACATTTGTTTCATTCCTCTGGGGTAGACGCCTAGAACTGGAGTGGCAGGATCACAGGGTCACTTCGTGAGTGACCATTTTGAGGGACGGTTTCCCAAGGTGCTTTCACTGGGGGTTGAAGCTCTGATGAAGCAGAAGACACATTGAATGAGGACCCAGAGCAGGGGTCAGAGGTGAGACCTGGACACCAGGCGGTGTCCTCCCTGGGGATGGCCAGACAGGCTGGGTCCTGTCAGAGCCTCGGACGAGGGCAGGTGGGGACAATGACAAACATGGAGAAGGTCAGAGAGCCAGCCCCGGGCCCTCCTCCCGGCTCTCTGTTCTGACCCTGTGGCCATCAGTGGGCACAGTGAGGCGGGTGGGACTCAGACATGCATATGTGGGGAGCCCCTCCCCAGGATGGCCCTGGAGCCCTAGGATGAAGGCTCCGCCCCCGCCAGCTACCCGGAGAACCAGGGCAGGAAGCAAACGTCTCTGTCCCTGGAGGCCCTCATAGGTCCCTTCATGGGGACCTGGCTTTGCTTCTAAAGAGGTGGACAAGGCTGTGTCAGTTTGGCCTCTGGTCCTGGAGATGGCTGCTGCTGGCTGTCCTGGGTGGTCTGCCTCGAGGGGAGTGAGGGAGGTGGCTGTGCTGACCACAGTGAACTCTGTTGGGTGGGACTCCGGGAGGTCCTGGTGCTGGGGCTGGAGGCCTCTGGCATTGACATGCAAGGGTCATTTGCTGGGGCAGTAGCCAGACCTGGGCTCTTAAATGCGCACAGCAACCAGGCAGAAAGAGTGTGGCGGCTCGTAACACTCACCCACCGCGGCATCCGGTACCACGTCTGAGTGCCAGAGCAGAAGGTGGCAGGCAGAGCTAAGGGCTATTTGGGAGAGACCTGGGAGGCTGGGCGTGTGGGGACAGGGTCCTCGGGGTCACAGTTCAGGACCATGGGACCAGGAGGGAACCAGGACCCTGAATCTCTAGGCGAGGCTGCATGGGGTAAGGGGGCCGCAGGCTTGGTTAGTGGGTGCCATGGTCCCTGCCCATCTGTGCTCTCGCCAGCGATGCCTGAGCAATGGGTATTCAAGAACCCCATGAAGAACCCCAGGCTTCTGGGCTCAAGTCCTGGGGGAGGGGCTGTCCCACGTCTTACTGTGGAGGAGACGAGGGCTGCAGGGACGGGCACTGTGGTCCATAGCTGGTCTCCCCAGGGGTAACAGGACTGGTGAGGCTGCTGGGTGGAGCCAGGCCCCGGGTGGGCTACCCCAGTCCTGGGGGGCAGCCATGGAGCTAGGGAGGGTGAATGTGGCTCAGGGGCCCAGAGCTGCTGCCAGGGTCCACTTTGTCCCAAAACTCCTGGCCTTGGTTCCAGAGGCAGCTTCCCTAAGATGGTCTGGGGCGTCACGTGCTGGGGTTGGGGGCCCACGGGGCTAAGAGGGAGCCTGGCCTTCAGGGTTCACAGAGGCCAGCACCAGGCGCATTGCTTCCTGCCTCATCCCACGCCTCTCGGGGTCCACAGACAGGATCGAAGGTCGACAGAGACAGAGGCAGCTTTACTAGGACTCAGAGGGGTGCTGCCCAGGGTGGAACCAGGCCTGCTGGGGGTCAGGACTGTCCCTGCAGTCAGGGGTGGCATCACTTCCCACCTCACCCTGTGCCCCCCAGGGGTCCACAGACAGGACAGAGGTTGGTGTGAGACAGAGGCGGCTTTATTAGAACTCAGAGGGGCACTGCCCAGGGTGGAACCAGGCCTGCTGGGGTCAGTTCTGCAGAACTTGGGTCTGGGGGAGCAGCTGTGCAGCCAGCATCTGGGAAGGACTGGGGGAGCATCCTGGTCCCTAAGACAAAGAGCCTGCCCCATATTCTGAGGGTGTCAATGCCAGAGAGGGAGGAGCTGGCTGGGCCCGCTGGGAGGTCAGCCCCAGGTGGGAAGGGACTCTGGATGACATTCAGCGCCGTCAGCAGCTGGACTTCTGGCCAGAGCAGAGGCTGTAGCAGGCTGGGCGGGAGCACGTGGGGCGGCAGAGGAGGGACACGCAGGAGGCCGGGTAGCAGCAGCTGGTCTGGCAGGAGGAGACGGGCACGCAGCAGGTGGACCTGCACACGGGGCGGCAGAGGAGGGACACAGAGGAGGAGGGTCTGCAGCAGGAGGTGGTGCAGCAAGCTGGCTGGCAGCTAGACTGCTGGCAGCATGATGTGGAAGCCCCAGAGCAGACGGGCTTGCAGCAGACAGACTTGCAGCAGACGGGCACACAGCAGGCCTGCTGGCAGGGGGAGGAGGTGCAGCAAGCCAGCTGGCAGCTAGATTGCTGGCAGCATGAAGAGGAATCCCCAGAACAGGTGGGCACACAGCATACGGTCTTGCAGCAGACAGGCACACAGCAGGCCTGCTGGCAGGAGGAGGAGGTGCAGCAAGCTGGCTGGCAGCTAGACTGTTGGCAGCATGAAGAAGAATCCTCAGAGCAGTTGGGCACACAGCAGACAGGCTTGCAGCAGACGGGCACACAGCAGGCCTGCTGGCAGGGGGAGGAGGTGCAGCAGGCTGGCTGGCAGCTAGACTGCTGGCAGCACGAGGGTGTGCAGGAGCTGGTGCAGCCTGATTGGCAGGGGCTGGACTCACAGATCGCCTGGCAGCAGGGGCTGGACACACAGCTCACTGGGGTGCAGACCAGGGTCAGGCAGGGGGCCAGGGTGCAGCAGCTGGGGGCGCAGCAGGGGGGCTCGCAGCAGCTCTCTGGGCAGTCATCCACCTGCCAGGAGTTGGAGCAAGAGTCACAGGGACCAGGAAGGCAGACGCGGCTGCCGTAGCTCATGTTGCTGGAGCAGACGGACATGGTGGACGCGGCCATGCTGGGGTTGAACTGGCGGAGGGTGAGGGAGTGAGTGGGTGAGGGAGTGAGCCTGTGAGGTGCTGGGGTTCTCGGGCTTTTATTCCCCCTGGCCTTGTTGTCGCCGGGCCCACAGCTTCCCCTTCCGTGTTGCTGAGAGCTGGAGTCTGCCGGGATTAGGGGTGTTTGTTTGCCTATGATGTGGCCCAGCTCATAAATCTCCCGTCACATCTGGGCTGTGTCCCATCCCACGTGGATCCCTGGGGGCAGGAGCTGGGGTGGGCCTGGTCCCAGCTGGGTTCTGGCAGCTGGGAAAGCCGCAGGCAGGGGCATTGTCCAGTCCTGGCCCCAGCAGCCCCGGGACACAGAGTCCCTCTGCGGGCAGCCGACCTTAGGAAGTGTTCTTGTGGTGGAAACTCCTCATCCAGCGTGGTCTTTCCCCCATCGTGGGACGCAGGACTGTGGCCATCTTCTGAGGGACAACCTGGTTCCCAGCAGCCTTCACTGACCTGCCCGGGGCCATGCGGGGGCAGCTGTACCTGTGCCCAGACCTCTTGCCTCTGAGCTCTGGACGACTTCTCATCCCCACAGCCTCTGCACCTCCTGCCCTGTTTCGTGCCCACCTTGTCCTTGTGTTTCGGAGGCAGCAGGACCTGTGTGTTCCAGGCAAGGACGGTGGGCTCGGCCCCTCCCTGCTTGGACAGCATGACATCCTCCTGGGCTGTGGTTTTGGGTTCTGAACCTGCAGTGTAACCATGCTGAGCGGTGGCGGTCAGCAGTCCTCGTCCCCGCCTGGGGTGGCTCCTCTGTGTGCTCTGCTTCGAGGCAGCCCGTCAGTCCCCACCCAGCCTCCTGCGGGGCCCATTTCCCAGCCCTGTCTTCCAAGCCCTGTGCCAGGCCTCTTAGTGTCACCACCTTAAAATTAAGGGACATCTGTCCAAAGAACCCGCACGGAAGACACAAAATGGGTCCAAGGGACATTGATCTCACTGCAACCTTATTGCCAGTGTAAACCAAACATAAAGCTGAAGCCCCTCAACTGACTAAATGGACCCCATCTTGGCCACGGGGACCCCTGAAACACTGTGTTCCTGGCCATGACAGGGAGGGAGGTCAGACACGCCGCGTTACACCCCCTCCCTTTAGGGTTTAGACACCAACACTGCCCCGTATTAAAGTTAAAATAGAGATGGTAAGACCCACAGAACAGACTCTGTGACACCAAGATATCGAATTACAAACAGGACCTCAGGCCACACCAGGCAAGGGTCGAGCTGAGTACCCTACACTGAGAGGACGGACTCTGCTCTCACACCACAGCTGCTGCTTTTTCTCCAGCGGCTAAACACGCACTGGCCCCGCCATGAGGATGAGCAAGATTCAAACGACCACGGCCCATCCACCTGCAGACGCCAACTGACCACGTCCCACAGCCGTGGCCACAGCTCTGATTGGGCGGGAGACTGACTTCAGGAGCCTCCTCCTGATAAGGGACCCAGACCGTGGACCAGCTCCAGCCGATTTACAGAAGCTACCTCTTGAGTGCCTTTGTGTCCTGAGAAGACCTCTGAGGTTTACAGCCTCATTGAGACACACTGACGTGTTAAGATTCCAGCCTACAGGAAGTCCTTTTTTTTTTTTTTTTTTAATATGGAGTCTCGCTCTGTCTCCCAGGCTGGAGTGCAGTGGCGCGATCTGGGCTCACTGCAAGCTCCGCCTTCTGGGTTCACGCCATTCTCCTGCTTCAGCCTCCCGAGTAGCTGGGACTACAGGTGCCCGCCACCACGCCTGGCTAATTTTTTGTATTTTTAGTAGAGATGGGATTTCACCGTGTTAGCCAGGATGGTCTCAATCTCCTGACCTTGTGATCCACCCGCCTCGGCCTCCTAAAGCACTGGGATTACAGGCGTGAGCCACCGCGCCCGGCCAAGAAGTACATTTTAAGTGGTCCATATTCAGAAAACAGGCCCTGGTAAGTCCAGGCAGCTCCCTTGCAGATGTGACAAGCCACACGGTACAGACATCTGGGAAGAGTGATAAGACTCACAGAAGTCAGAGGGGAGGAAGAAAAAGTGGGGGACGATTAACCCATAAAAGGAAAGAAACTTTTGCCATTGAGAAATCAAAACGTAAAGTGGGGAAGGGGACAAGCTGTAACCTTATAAGGGGATAATGAAACCTAGGTGACGTCCGGGAAGACTGTGACCCCACAGGACTCAGGCTGCGAGGAATGGGGGAGGCACCTGCACACTAGGGGATAAATTGCTTGTTGAAACTGTGCTGGGTGTGCCTGCCCATCAGACACCTGGTCTTGCAAGACCCCCATTAGCGTCTCACTTTCACTGTTGCTCACGCCTCTACTTTCATTCTTTGGATTTGGACGGGTGAGCGTGTTTCTCACAATCCCAGAGTGAAAACAGGTTGTATGTTACATGCATGTTTGTTCGTTTCCTCCTTCATGAATATTCACTATTCCTCCATAACCTATTGCACACGTGTATTTAGCCAACCTGGTCAGCGTGGAGCTCCTGCCCCAGCCCCTCCCGCTCTGAAGTGCCTCCTCCTGGCCCTGGTCTTGGCCAGAGCTGTGCTTCCCAGCCTGCAGGATGGCCTTCTTGCAGGCTGTGCCCCTGTAGAAGAAACAAAGTCTCCTCTTTTTTTCCAAACTTACAGATCTGTGATTTTTTTGAGATGGAGTCTCAATCTGTTGCCCAGGCTGGAGTGCAGTGGTACGATCTCAGCTCACTGCAGCCTCCACCACCCGGTTCCAGCAATTCTCCTGCCTCAGTCTCCTGAGTAGCTGGGATTACAGGCATAAGCCACCAGGCCTGGCTAATTTTTGTATTTTTAGTAGAGACAGGGTTTCACCATGTTGGTGAAACCAGGCTGGTCTCAAACTCCTGACCTCAAGTGATCCACCAACCTTGGCCTCCCAAACATGCTAGGATTACAGGCCTGAGCCATTGCACCTGGCCAGATTGTGATTTTTTTTAAGTGAACACAAGCAGTCACTCAATTCTCCTCTCAGGAAGCAGCTACTTTCACCCATTTATTCTCTTTCTCTCTGTCTCTCTCTGTCTCTGTCTGTCTCTGTCTGTCTGCCTCTTCCGTGTATGCACACACACACACACAACTGTCTGCCTCTTCCATATATGCGCGCACACACACACACAACTGTCTGCCTCTTCCACATATGCACACACACAGACACACACACACACACACAACTCCTTCTCATTATTCCCAGAGGTTCTGTTCTATAGTCTCCACCAGCAGCGAATAACCAAATACTGAACCAGTGCTCCTACAGGAAGAAGCACAGGGTTATGGTCTCATGAGCCTCTGATCACAACATTCTCATCAACCAATCAATGCATAGACATGTCTTATGAGTGCTTCCGTCTAAAGACACCTTATTGAATCTATATAGTTGATTTATCAACACTGAACTCACAGCCAACGGCCCCATAGAGCCTGAATGAAGTTGGTTGAACACATGTGTTTTCTCTGTAAGACGTGCTGGAGCCTTCTGAGCTCCGGACACCGAGCAGCACAGCAGCACTGTATTGGGACACTTTAAACAACAAGATCGCAGCATCAGGGAGGAACGCGCGGCACTGAGGAGAACGTCACAAGGACACCTGTTTACCATATGCGAGCTGAGACAGGAAAGCAAAACATCACCTCGTTCTGTTATGCATATTGTCAACAGATATGTACATACACATACATACATATAATGCCTCTGTATACATAAATTTTTAAAATACAAATTATGTCATACTCTACCTACTATGTTTTTGTAAACATGGAGCTCCTTTCCTATGCATACATCATGATCTCTCTCTTGTTTACAGCTGCATAGAATTCCATGTTGGTCTGTGTGTTCATTTTCCATTGCATGTAATGAAGTACCACAAGCTTAGTGGGTTCAAATAACACACATTTATCATCTCAGTTTCTGTGGGTCAGGAGTCCAGGCACAGTTAAATTGGGGTCTCTGTAGGGCCATATCAGAGTGTCTCATCTGAAGGTTCAATTGGAGAAGGATCCACTTCCCAGCTCATGTGATTGTTAGCAGAACTCAGTTACTTGCAGCTTCTTGGACTAAGTGCCTCAGTTTCTCACCAGCTGTCAACCGGAGGCTGCCACCATCTCTTTCCATGTGGCCTCAATGGGCAGCTCACAATGTGCTGGCTTCTTCACAGCCAGCCAGGGAGACAGATTCCTCCCAAGATGAGCATTACGACCTTACGTAATGGGATCATGCACATCCCATCACCGTCTCTGTGCTCCTTGTGTCTACACACGTGTCACAGGCCCACCCACACTCAAGGGGTGTGGGGCACACAGCCAATGACCACCAGGAGGTGAGGGATGTGGGGCCACCCTAGAGTCTGTCTCCCACTGTCTGGACAATCTCATGGCTGTGAGACCTTTGCACATACCGTGTATCCACCCAGGAGTATCTACAGGATGTCAGCCTAGTGATTCAGGCTCAAAGGCATGAGATTTTGAATTTTGATGCATAGCAGCAAACTGTCAGCCAAAGCTGTGGAACCATCCTCAGCCCAGCAGCAGCGAGTCATCTGGGTGGTCTGCCCACACCCTCACCAACCCGTAGCGGGAACATCAATGGTTTCCATTTTTTCCAATATAAAAAATGATATATGGCCATGAAATTTGTTTTATCTCATTTTAAATGGGGCCAAGCATGTTTTCACATTTAAGAACCATGTATATTTCTTTCAGTTGTCCCTCTGTATCCTTTGCTCATTTTCTGTTATGTTGCTGTTATTGATCTTAACTTGTGGGAGCTCTTTGGATATTAAGTAAATTAGCCCTTTCTCTGATATATGAATAGGAAATGTGTTTCCCATATTGTTGTTTGTCTTTCGACTTGGTTTATGATGTTTTCTCTCCTGCAATTTAAAAATTCTTATGTAATTAGTTTTATCGGTTTTTTAGATGGCTTCCGTGTTTTACTCAAAACTTAGAATAGCCCTTTCTACTCTGAGATG